AGGTACGTCGTCGTACGTACAATCAACTATTTCTATTTTCACATACCGATAGGTAGTAGATTTGTATCTTCCGAATTCGTCGTGACAAACTTGACGCGTACATGACCACTATACAATATAATAGATTATGCTCATTATACACTTTTACGCTGCAGMATATGAAAGTAATTGCTTTATTGGAAACCCTAAATTTTTGTTGAACGTTTCACACGATATATCGAATGACGATGTTCTCGACGATTAATTGAATTTAACGTTAAAGCGATAAGTTTAAAGTACTCGAACTGTTTAATAAGACATGTCGTCGTTTATCGTATAACAATCTTTACAATATCATATAATTAGTTTATAGGTACGAATATTTTTACGAATATCACTTGCACAGATGTGTATATATTATATTTTATTTTAGCCATTGCGGTGTATACACGAACGCGAAAAATGATTCCTAAATTTCTAGACACACTGTATACCTATCTACATATTATATGGATGACTGCAATAGCTGTATATAGATATATATTAAATTCGACCCTATATGTATATATATATATATTCGTTATTATAATACAAAGCTGCGAGTGCGTACTAAAAATTAACGTCTTGGAAATATTACAAATTTCAAAATGATTTAATGAAAATGACCTACTACTATACCTCTAACCCGCGTGAGTATACCKCATATAWACACTTAGCATTATAATATAGTATAATATCTTATAGTTTCTAAACGTTATTATTTAAAATTCGCGTACTTCGGATTAGGTATAATATTACATGAATTTAAAATTTGCCATGCTTAAATTGTGAGCGTGTACCACGGCATATTATAATATTATACGCGATATACATCTTTTACGTAACACTCTCTCGCGAGCGTACATGATTAATAACTTTTATATTTTATTGATGCACATATTTTACTTGCAGGTACGAGTGAAAAAGATAGAAAGCCCAAATGGCATTGTTCCAATCTATTTGTCYATTATAATAATATTATATATGTCACATTATTATACTATTACTRTATGTTGCGTTGATCAACCGAAGTGGCCCATCATCATATCATTATATAGTACCAAAACGAGGTTGCAAATGGGACGCATTATTGATAACGATGTTGTTATGTATAGTCATATAATATTGTGTTGTTAATATAGCAGGTATATAGAATTTGCGTGTGGCGTCCGCGGACGATGACATATTCCCGAAGACCATCTTTAACGTCGCAATAGCTAGGTAACGTATAGTCTGCAGTATTATACGGAATACAGAGCGATTAATCAAACGTGAACRTTTTCCCTTTTATAGTAAATTAATTTAAATTATGAATTTCAGAATTTTAAGTATTCATAAGGACTATAATCYTAATTTATTTYGAATAAATAGATTTAGCTTACCATTTAAGAGGAATGCCGGTCGGTGACGACGTAACCATTATATTTTCAAATAAAAATCTACCTTTTTTGCTATAAATATCACCATTTTATAATTTGTAAAAATTTCGAAAATACAATTTATAGTAAATCAAAAATTATATAGGTATATTTGATATTTTTGTGGGCCCATTTTTAAAGACTATTACTCCGACCCCGAGTACCTCTCGTATATTAGGTACCTTTAAGTATAAATACATTTTAATCATTTAGAAACTATTCGTTTTAATTCTGATTTTGATACCTACAACAAAATTTTCGAAAAAAAAAACCTAACAATTCAGAGTAAAAAGGACAATTTTAAAATCAATATTTGAATAATTGCATTATTTAATGAAAAAATTGGAGTATGATGCGTACTTGGCGAATCACACTTTATATTACACCTACTTTTGATTGACTCGTTACCATTATAACACTCACAGCGTTCCAACTGCGAGCATATGAGTTGCTACTCAGATGATAATTGAACATTATAATTATAATTGTAATTACAATTTACAATATAATATTCTTGTCTCTTGATGACGTAACGAACCACATTCAAACAGACGCGCGTATATCATCGGTGTTCACACACGATGACAATC